AAATAATCCTCAGATATTTTCTAAATTATTGTTTTAAATAGTGTATATTCAGGTGTAATCCTGATTCTACCATTGATCTACTGCTGTCTTCAATGGAGCTCAGGTTTTTTTTGAGAAACTAGCAGTTCCACCAATGCTAGGACTAATGAAGTCCTGCTATGCATTTGCAATATCATGACTGAAACAGTATTTTTGGTTTTGTTATCATGTGGCTGCCTAGGGAATCTACAAAATCTCCCTGCTGGTCTTGCAGCAAGCCAAACAAATAGTTTCGCAGGCTGTGTATTTGAGAGCTTTCTTACACAAAATTAGTGCCACTATAGACCTTTGTTAAATTTAGACAAAATAAGCCAACATGTGCTTGACTTATCCAGAGGGAAGAAGAATCACCAAACAGTGTGATTACATGAGTTTTACTCCCTTAGAAAAAACTAAACCACCCTCCTATAGAAAGGTGAAACACTCAACTTTTAAAAGTCAACTTTCACTACTATTCTATTACTGTTAGTGCAAGTAAACTTTCAGATTATTGTTGATATACTGCAGTAAGTATAAATAACTAATTACAGCTTGTTTTATTTTTTTAAAAAGTATTTTTTGAAACTTACTGAGTTGGCAGTTCTTGTTGTTATATTTATAACGCAGTTGTAACCGACAGCTTAAAAGTTAGGGGAGAAAAAAAACAATTGTTTTGAGAACAAGAAAAATAATAGTCAAAATTACGAAGTACAATACTGAATTCTGTAGAACAGCTTTGGTTGCTATTTGTGAGAATTACACCTTGTGGTTGATGGTCTGGGCCCTTATTACAAAACTGAAGACTAATATAAGCTGGAAAGGACCTTGGGAGGTTATCCAGCCAAAAGCAGGACCAACTCTGTCTGGCTGCTGAGGGTACTGCCTAATCAAGTTTTGAATATTTCTAAAGAAAACGATTCCACACTGAGCACTGGAAATAATGTAGGTACAAAGTAGTTGCATCCTGTCCCTGTTTCAGCACGTTAAATTAAATACAAGTAGACTCACTAGCTACTCATACAGTTAAAATTCAGAGCTTACAACAGTAAAATTGGAAAGGCTGGTACTTGTGGAGAATAAATAAGAAAATACAGAATGTGAATAAACAGGTGGCAACAAGAGCTACAAGTAAAGCAACATGTGAAGAAACTCAAACTCTTGGTTCTTTCTAGAAAAACAAATTAATCCCTCATAGACCAAATGAAAAATATGTCTGAATTACTCTTCAACTTCTGTTTTGAGAAATTAACATTGAATATTGAATATTACTATTTTGCTATGAATTATTATCTCAGTTCCTATGTTATAAATAAATTAATTAGTATCAGTTTATTTCAGACTTTAAAGAGCAACAGAGTGCTTCACTTTTTTACTTTACTATTCTGTACCGGAATCAATATTTTGTGAAGGAATAGCATGCCACCACAAAGGAAACCAGAGATGATACTCACAGAGATTGACTCTGGGCAAGGACAAGGAGCGCCATATGATCCGCAAATTTGTCACAAGCAGTTTACCTGGAGATAAAGGGTGGGGACATTTTAAAATCTGAATAACTTCTATTAAATTAAATGTTCTGTTCTGTGACATATATTTACCTCTAGCTTTGAAACACCAGGATACTCCTTCCCCTTGATAGGAAAAAGAAGAAAAGCACAGAACAACCCGCTAGAAAAATCACTAAACACTTTTTTTTTTTAAAGGCTAGGAGAGAAAATCCATCAAGGAACAAATGAAACAACCTCTAATATATACCAATATTCCTCAAAACCAACCCAAGAACAGTTACTGATTTCAATCTACCCGCTTATAGTAAAAATGCAGACACACTCAGTGCAGAATTGCTCTGGGGAAGAGAAGGGGAAGGCAGTGAATTAACTATCACAGCTGCCTTCATGAATAACCTCACCCCTTTATTATCATATGCAAATTTACTCCATTCTGTACCCTGTGGAGCAGCACATCCAACCTAGGAAGGGTCATCTCAGCACACTAGCAGCTTTGTGCCCTTGCCCACTACATATTCCTTACTGATTCAGTTTAACCCTGGGAGGGGAAAATTAAGCCTTAAAGAGGATTACAGCAGAAGATCACCACACTGTTTACAAATGGATTATTCTTACAAGGCTTTCAATTCTAAGCAAATTCTGAGACAAGATTATCATCTTCCTATAACTCTGAACAAGAAATCCTATCTGAAAACACTCCAAGACAGATCTGTGCAACAGAGCTTTGATACTAAGTTCAGTGGAAACCTCACAGGTTTCCATGAACCTGCACATGTTAAAAAGTAGAAAGTTTACAATTTCCCTGAGTTTGGAGTTACCTCTGTCTCCATTGTTTCCTTTGGTATCTTCAACAGACTCTAAGCAGTCTATAAGGACCTCTCCAGGTCTCATTTTCATTTGTCTAAAAGAGAAAAAAGAAATTACCTGATGGAAAATAATCCTCCAAAAATAAGGCTATTTCTATTTCCCTGCTTCACTTTCTCCGTTTTCTGCTCAGTTCATCATGCAATGAAAAATCCAGGTATGCACATATACACATAATTCGACTTTATATACTTGCAATGATTATTACATCTCACAGATGAAAAACAGTAATACCTCTACTATTAAATTATAACAGTACATAAATAATTACATAGCAAGTGTGACCAAGCAAAATATGCCCTCAAACAGCAAGAAGGTGTATGGAAATGGGAAAGCAAAAAAAAAAAACAAACTTGCATTAACAGATCTTTTAGAGAATAGAGCTTGTTACCTCCTGACGTACTTTTAAGTCATAAGGAGTGGAACTAGGCTCATGAAATAACAGATGCTAGCAAAAGAAAGATATATAAGGACATGTGAAATGCTCAGAATTTTCCACATAGGATGAGGTTTGATTTTTTTGGTTTCTTGTTTTGTTTTGTTTGTGGGATTTTTTTGTTAGTAGTTTATATTATTACTATTTTGCTTTATTTAACTGGTCTAACCACTTAATTAAATAACAACAGATGTAGTGTAAATTTCTTCTGTATTTTTATCTTATTGTGAAAAACAGCCAAAACTCTTCAGTTTGACTGCAGGGCAGAAACGAAATGTATTATTAGGAGGGGAATTTCGTGAGATACTGCAGAGCCATTCCCTGAGTTCAGGATGCCAACGCCACGGCAGGGACACCAAGTCCTGGTAACCAGCGAGCGCCACCGTTCCCTCAGACACATCCACTCGGTTCGAGACTACTTCCCAGTGCCAGAAAAGCTCGGCTGGGAAAAGCACACCGTTCCCTCAGTCCAAACTTTTGGTTTGTTTGTTTTCTTTGTACACATTGGAAACGGTGACCATTTCCCACCTCCCCAAACTCCCCGGCCGGCCGCTCCGAAACCCCGCCCCACTTCGCCCCCCCGCGCCGCCACACGGACGCGTTCCCGGCATCCACCGCGCCCCTGATGGCGGCCGGCCTCAACCCACGGAGATCCCTCGATGACTGGCCCCGGGCGGGCCTGAGAGCACCGCTGCGGGCAGGAATGGGCCGGGATGGGCCGGGCCACTCACTGCGGGGAGATGTCGAAGCGAACATCCCTGTCCTCCCACAGCACGTCCAGCACCCCGCTCATGGCCGCCGCGCGCCCCGCCAAGCCACGCGCTGCCCGGCAACGGGGCGGGAGGGGTGTGGGGTGTTTGTGTCTCGCGCCCCTGCGGCGGCCGGGATTGGCTGCGGCGCCGCACGTGGGGAGCGCGCGCGCCCTCCCGCCCCCTTCGGCCCCGCCCCCGGCCCTGCTGAGGCGCTAAAACCTAAATCGCGTGAAAGCCTCGCGTTGTCGGCAAAGTACAGCCTTGGGGGTGTGAGTTTGGTGGGTTTGGTTTAATTTTAAGATAGATGGGATGCGTCATTTTTAATTTGGAGTGACTTGAAAATTGTACGTAGCCAATTTTAATTGCAGTACCCTACCACTTTAAAATAAACTAATTACTCGAAATAAGTACGAATTGTAGGAAGAAACTCGTCCTGTTGACAGTTCTTTCCCTGGAGCTGGTCCCTGGGTTGGTGAGGAGTCCATTGCACCCATCTGGAAGTTGACACAAACTGGATGAAGTGAGTAACAGGTGGGAAGTGCCTGTGGCCTTTCCGTGGCCCTGGCGGGACACGGACCAAGGGCTCTGGAAGCAGAAAGGATGGAGAGTGTTTGGCTTGAGGCTAAGCTCCATTTTTGTTGATATGTTTGACGTTACCATTTGCTCAGTGAAAAAGAGAAAAACACAAACCCAACCAAAAGTGATCATCGTGTTTCATATGCAGGAATGCCTAACCTGGGGTGTTGGGGCTTGTTAGGGGCTGTGGCAGAAATCCATTGTCAGAAACGCATGAGAAGGTAAGTGCAATGTAATTTAGCTAGGTTAAGTTTTTAGTCCTGTAAAGATACCATTATCCATTTTCTCTCCTGGCAGTAAAACAAGAAATGTTTTATTAGAAACAAGCTTTCAAGTATGTTAAGTAATAGGAAATGCAACATGTACATGCAGATGTAAATGTAAAAAGCAATATCACAGTGGCAGCCAATAAACTATGCTGCGTTTTATGTTTTGAACAACAGTTTAAATAGTTAATTAAGGAAGATGAAAATATTAAAATGCATTTAAAAATTAGGGTTGGCTTTCAGAAGAGAAACACATAACAAGCACCACTTTAGACATGAACTAACCCAATTTAGTGATTCCAGATATTGGTATATTCACTCAGAAATCTGTGGATGTCATGGATCTTGGCTAGCTAATGAAAACTGAGGAGAGTTTACTGAAAAAAAGGATTAAAGTAACTGTGAAACGGTTAGGAAAGGTGTGTTATTTAGCCACCTCCCTGTCTTATGATCCAGAGAGCACATAGGCCATAAGTTGATGCATTTGCTGTATTTGTCTGTACTGAGTGGTACTCCGCATGTAATTTGGAAATATGCTTGATATATTAAAATATTATTTGTGAGAATGGTTTCGCTTAAAAGAAGTGAAGTCTTCATTGCACAATTCTTGGCAAATATCAGATTTCTGTAACAGAGAGAAAAGAGATGACATAATTTTAACGACCAACGATTGCTTCCAAAATATGTCATTTAAAATGAAGTATAGTTAATGATTATACAATGTTAGTATTTAAAGACCTAGGTGAAGGAAGGGCAATTGCTATGGCAAATGCTATACTGGTCTTAATATAAATTAGTAAAAAAGAATCTTTGTACTCTTGATACTGCTGAAAATTTGCTATTTTGTTAGATAAGCACTACATCATACACTATATGCAAAAAGAATTAAAGTATGCTTGCATAGGTAGACTTTTTTTTAGTTAGTGCACATATGACTTCACAAAGTTAACATTCTATAAATTAGTTGGTTTGATTTTACGTACCAGGCTGGATAATTTATAACAAAGTCAAACTGTCAGTAGTTTCAACCTGCTCATTTTTAATGTAGAGATGAATTCCTACCTCCAGAAGAAAATACACAAGCCTCTCTACATTCCTCTTCACTCTCAAAGCGGTTTGCATTTCCATCGCAGCCACCGTACCAAAACTGAGCACAAGCATTGGCTTGTTTATCATAATACCATTTTATCATATAAACACGGCATGGCCCTGGATCCAACCTTAACTTGCACCGGAGGTCCAGGATACTTTCTAAAATAAAGAAAAAAGAGGAATAGAAACAATTCAGTTTGTAGCAGTCAATTGTATTGCATAGATTTTACCTTTTAAACTCTGATTTTGTTTTTTTTTTTCCTGGTAATGTTAGACAACAGTTTAAGATTCACTCTTAGTTGTAAAGATGTTAGTATTGAAGGCAAGTTAAAAGTGCATCTTAGTAGGTCAATTAAACTATTCCTTTACTGGCATGGTTCTAGTAATTCCAGAAATAATAGTAATTTGGCTCTACATACCGAAAGAGCAAAGAATATGAATACGATAATTTCAAAATCTATTTTCTGAAATCTAATTAAGTGCAACCAGTCTTGTGAGCAACCTGAAATTGTAAGCCTGAGAGCTGTAAGGTAGTTGCATATGCTGTTTTCAAATCATAAGCATGACCATCATCCTTCTGCTGCATGTTAGTTCTTTTTGTGGTTGGAAGAAGAGACATTAAAATTGTGAGAAGAATATAAAACTTTAGTCTTGCTTTTGTAAGATATTTGTGTTACTTATCTAATACAATGGTAGTACTTATGTACATAAGTACTTTACCATTGTAAAGCCTGTTGGTCTAGTGACTCCTACAGATATGCATAAGAGGACTGTGACATACTAATCTAGTCTCACTAATAATACCATTAGATAGAAAGCAATTTTCTGTTAAGTTTAATGTTGTGACACCAATATTTTGTCTTTGTTAACTCGTATCTTGTCACTTTTTTGGGCGGAAAAAAAAAAAAGTTATTGCCAGTGTTCCCTGGAAGCATGGGAACATGTTTCTATCGCTCTTTTCTGTTGCTCCCATCATAATAAACTATTACTGGAACTCAAAATCCCCCAAATGATGAACAAAATACATTTGGACATTTCATGTCCAAAAAATCAATGAAAAGAATCAATCCTTTGAGCAGTCAGCTAATTATCATACTTTTCTTCAAATGACTAAACACAGTTTTTTCCTATTTCTCCTCTCCTCTGAAAGAGAAAGCTATTTTTTCTGTCCAATTCTGAAACCATTATCTTTGTCTTTAATGAAGCCTCCTATCTCCATAGACTGCCCCTTCTTGTCTGACAAATTACCTGCTCACTGGCCCACTTCTCTTTTTGATGCCATTTATGAGCTCCTCTCAGATAACCTTGCTTTTGCCATAAGTGGAGCAGTGGGATTTGGAACTTGGGAAGAAAAGAACGGCAACTAGATCTGTTATAAAATCCTGAAATGGATTATCTTCCACATCACGGACTCACAAAATCTTCAGAGAGTAGAACAAAATTACTCTGATTTAAAGCCTTATTAAAAGTTAGTATCAGGATATGAGGGAACAAAATGAAAAACTAGTTATGATCTATAACCTGGTCTTGATGTAAGTCCTGCAGTTGAAAGAGGTGATGTCATCACTTTATTGGATGGTGATTGTTTAGATGGCAATAATGGTACCACAGCTGCAGCTGAAAAGAAACAGAATGAGACGTTGATTTTTGATCAGCCAAAAAAGCAGATGAAGAAATGAATGATGATAAAAATACCTCTAGTGTCTGCTGTTAGGAAGGGTAACTGTTTCTCCTCTTGTTCCTCTTCATAGGCTTCATATACTACCACAGGAGGTAATTTGGTCTGAAATAAGCAGTTGATTTTCTTTGTTTTCCAGATACTGTGAAGTGTTTAAAAATTAACAAGCCCTCCATGACTCAGAGATTTTCTAATGTTATTCCTTTCCATTTAACCTGACTTCAGTGTTAAAAACCAGAATTTTAAATTCACCTGATTGGTTCACCAGGAAAATTGTCATATCTAAATATGAGATATATATTTTTTTTAGTTGGCCTTTACAGAATTTTATTTATAAACTTGAAATGATAATCTACAATTGAGTTCAATTCTTAGACTTAATTATAACAGTGTAATTGCTTTTTAATAATGTCGTTTCACACTGTGGCACAAATATTCCTCCATTAAACAGAGGAATGATAATTCTTGTAACAGTATCAGGAATAAACTATAGCAATTATAAATTATATATTATATTATAAATTATAGCCTGCATGCAACATCAGAATTCTTACTCAGAAAAACCAGCTCTGAGCATACCAAGTTAAAGGAGCTATTACAGTACCTGTCTGGCAGAAAAGTAAGGTGAAGGTTACATACTACATCAGGCAGCACAGAGGGATATATATTTTAAACTTCTGCTCATTGAAGTCTGCTGAATTTTCATACCGGAGCTAATGGATGAGGAAGATCACCAAGACTCAGAGGACTTTCTACTGTAGATACTCCAGGTGTCTGTGCTGAAAGTGGTTGTCTGTTAACATGGTGGTTCTGAAGTGGAGATACTGAATGGAAATATGAACTTGGAGATACTGAATGGAAATATGAACCACTTATACTTGCACCATTTCCATTACGGTTGTATATTAAGGTACCATGTTCATCTTCACAAAATTGGTTTACTAATTTGGACTCCAGAGCTGTTTAAAAAAAAGAAAGTAAAAAACATCATACTGAGAAATTCAATGAATTTTTAAAATATGGACTATTTATATACGTCAGTAATACACACGTAATCCAGTACTCCTCTGGATTGTTTATATGTCTCTAAGAAGATTATTCCAGACTCTCTGCACTGTAGCTTTTTTTGGTCACAAATTTGCCAGCATGTAAGTCCTCTACATGGTACAAAATACAATGAACTTATTTAAAGGTGTTCATCCAAGCTTAGTAACAACTACTAGTTGGTTACAGGAAAATAACTTCTTACCTTGCTGATGTGAACAACTAAATGAAAAAGGGAAGTGAACAAGCAGAATTTATGACAATGGGTTTCATTCTGACTTACAGTCCAGCAGATGTGCAATGCATGAGCACTTACTCAGCCTAGAAAACCAGTTTAAGCAGCTGTTTTCCTAAACTGGGTGACATCCCCCTGTTGGCGTGTTGAATCATTGCCCTATAATGTGACTCCTTAAAAGAAGTGAATCTCTATCTCTAGGCTCCTATTACTTTGCTCCTTGTAACTAATCCTGATCAGCATCAAAGCTTGACATATCCATAAAGATAGTACTGGCCCCCCACTGTGCCCCGTTCTGAGAAGCATCAGATACAATGCATAACTTCAGTGAACGCACCTGGAAGGGTGTTAAAGTCATCAATGAGAAACATGTGTTCTGTGTCTGGATCTGAAGCAATCAGATTTAGCTCACGCACAAACTCGGCCTGTGTTGGATCCGAAGTGTTTACAATTCCTACTGCGTACATTTCGATGTTTGCCGCGTGAGCCTCTCGAACGACAGTGTCTAGTTTTACAGCTTCTCTCTTGTCTGCTTGGCCATCTGTCAGCACAAGAGCTACTTTCCGCACTCCTGCTCGAGCACCGAGGAATCCTTCCTGGGTTGCTTTACGGATAGCAGTTCCTGTGTAAGTGCCTTCTCCCATGTATTGCATTTTTCTAATTGCTTGCTTAACATCCTGTCGAGTTGTATATTTGTTGAGACCAAATTCTAGTTGAACTTCTAAACTGTATAACACAAGGCCAATTCTAGTAGCATTTCTGCCTACAGTTACTCTGTCTACTAAAGCAGTTACAAAGTCTTTGACAATCTCAAAATTTTCTGGTCCCACACTCTCAGAGCTGTCAATCACAAATACAAGCTCCATAGGAATTTCCTTACATTTAATACCGCAACCTGCAAAGGAAAAATAAAAAAAAACAGATCACAATGACCTGACATGGTATCCTTTTGGAAAGGAGAAGAATGTAAATGTAATAAAGAAAATATAGAACCTGAACGTAAAGATTTCCTGAGTACTTACCACATATCTCTTTAATTAATTTAATTATATCTTCTCTCTGGATATGAAAAGAATTAAATATGAAATTATTTTACAACTTTGCCTCTTTCAAATAATGCATAATATTGACACTAACAGATATTTTGTTTATAATTAATATTTGTGTCCTACAGGAACTTAGAAAAATCTTACTGTTTAACTTTCAAACCTGACCTTCCAAACAGGGAATGAGTCCCACATTTTACACTGAACTGTTTCATATGCATATAACAATCATTAACTTGACAACACAGAAACATCTTTATCTAAAACAATTAACTACTGTTATTGTAAAAATGTTTTGTGATTAACTGATTCTCATTAAAACTGAAAATCATTCATATTGTAGTATCTGAATAATATGATATCCATTTTAAATGTATTGGGAGTGGAGAAACAGACCCAACTTTAGGAATTGTATTGCTTGTAGTGAGCTGATGTATGACAGAGCACCAACACAGAATGGAATTGGGAGTTGGAAGCCCTGGTGTATCTGGCCCACTCTGTTACCCAGATTTCATCAGAAAAGAGAAAAAACAGCTGCTGCCTTCAGAGCTGTCTGTTCAGAAAAGTGAGACCTTCTGTGAACAAAGTGTTTCTTGTTATTAGAGCAATCCTTTGTTATATTTTTTTAAGTGCATGACAGGACTCATTTGGCATTGAGTCAGCCTTTCAAATACAACCTTTTGCTACTGCTGCTCAGCTTCCATAAAACTTAGTAGTAGTCACTGACATACTTTTACTGAATTTGGGTCAAGTGCAGTTCAGACTTAGCAGAAATATAATTACGTTCATAGCATGACAGACCATGACAAGTTTGAAGATCCTTGCTCTTTATACTCTTAAATACTTGTAAAAAATCTTTTCTGCAGCAAGTGCACTCCTGAGTCATCTAACGCTAACTGTGAAAGAACATATAGCAGAAAAATGCCTAAAATTACCAGGAACTTTAAATTCCATTTCAGTAGAAAGTAGATGAGAAAAAATCAGAAATCTTTGAGTGGTTTCATGCTGCAGTATTACTAAGACCACTTCTTGTCAGAAAGCACCGTCCAAAATAATTAACAGGATATGTTTCATCTGATCTAGTATTGTTTATATCTTGCCATAAGGGGATTTAAATAATGGAATTTGCTTACTGTTAGACCTTGCTCTCCCTTTGGTCCAGTTTTGCCCTGTAACAGTGATTGTTAATTCAACATTGCAATTAATTAGTAACATTGTAATTCAGAATATGACTTCATCAATACCATTATTTGAACAATATTTGGCCAATAGGAACTTTGGCTAGAAAAAGTGGTGTTTGTGTGATATTACCTTGTGCATTCAGTGTCTGCAGCCTCCTAAGGTGATGGTGTTATATGGGAGTTGGATGACCTCAAGTCTCCCACTCAATCACCGATTGTCAGTTTACATTAGAAAGGGAGAATCTGTGCAAAGCTTTCTTGTCTGCCATGTTGTGTTGATTTCCTCTCTAAACAGACTGTGTACCTGCCTGACACCCTGGAATGATGAGAATTCTGCTTCATCATGTGTGAGTTTAATAGGGCCAGTAGCAGGACAAGAATGAATTTTTAAAATATGGACTATTTATATGTTAGTGTATATATATATACATGTGTCACCCCCCCAGCAATGGAGTTTATATATTCCTACTTAATAGTATGCAAATTTCAGAACAGAAGAGCACCACATGGGACCTGCCCATCAGCAGAAGTTTTCATTTTGACTCCCCTCATTGTTCATCAGCTTTGAGGGAAAGTCTGAGCTGTAGTTATTTGCTAGCCATAGAATAGAATTGCATAGTTTTGTCTTGAAACATGGCAATTGTCCTTCACTGCTCTCCTGGTTTCAACTGGGATACAGTTCATTTTCTTCTTAGTAGCTGGTTTAGGGCTGTGTTTTGGGTTTACTATGGGAATCATGCTGACAACACGCTGATGTTTTGGATGTTGCTAAGTGGCTCTTACCCTAAGTCAAGGACTTTTCAGTTTCCCATGCTCTGCCAGTGAGGAGCTGCACAAGGAACTGCAGGGAACATGGCCAGGACAGCTGACCCGAAGTGGCCAAAGGGATATTCCATAGCATAGGATGTCACACTCAGTACACAAACTGGGGGGAGTTGGCTGGGAGGGGCCGATCACTGCTTGGGGGTGGGCTGGGCGTTGGTCAGCAGATGGTGAACAACTGTATTGGGCATCACTTGTTTTTTTCATTATTATGATTATTATTATACTTTGGTTCAATTACTAAACTGTTTTATATCCACCCATGAGTCTTCTGTTTGTTTATGTTTTTTTTTACTTTTTTATCTGACTCACCTCCCCATCCCACCAGGGCTGGGGGGTAGGTGACTGAGTGGCTGCATGGTATTTAGTTGCTGGCTGGGGTTAAATCATGACAACTTCCTTAACAGAGAAACCACATCTGTGCGATAAGTGGGGTATTAATCAAGGAAATGTCTTTTTGCTTTTAAAGTTTTTCATTGTTTCAGTTTCTTAAGTATTTCAGATTATATGTAGTTAAATAGAAAGAAGAACACACAACTCAGCTTTGTTTTTACATGGTTTAAGAAAATAGCCATGATAAATCTGAGTTACTCACGGGTTCTCCAGATAAACCAGGGTCACCCACATCACCTTTTTCTCCTTTTTTCCCCTTGTCACCTGTAGCTCCTCGATCTCCCTGTAAAACCATGTTGGTAAGCAGACAGAAAGCCTAAGTCAGTTTTTATTACACTTTTCAAATTTCTCTCTAGTTGCCTTTTGTTGAATTCACCTTCAGCTTTGATATGACAGAAATCTTCATTAGACATCATTTAAATAACTTGGTATATTGTGAATTTCATTAATAACTTATAGGATTGGCTAAGCATCCTTATGGGAAAAAATAAGTGAAGCTGTTTGAACAATGAACCATCTCAAACAACTATATGCACACTATAGAGGGGTTTCATGTGATATTATGTGATGGAAATTATTATCAGTGTCTTAGAAAAATAAGATAACGGTAGGGAAATAGAAAAGAAATCCAAGGGTGTCATTGGAATGAATAATGAGAATATCACTCTGAGAAACCTTTTGGCCCAGAAAAGGTGTTTGGAATTGCAAACAGATGGATTTGTGTGTCCTGGTTTGATTTTTAGTAGCCTGTGGTATTTTGTACAGCCTTTCTGAGCCAATGTGATTGCATCTAAAAACTGATTCCAACCTAAAGTTTTCTTTTTCTTAACATTGATGTAAAGTCCAAATTTTGCATAGTGGGTGAAAGAAAGGCAGTAATATTAAATCTAATAATAAAATAATATAACTTCTAATAATAATATAATCTTCTAATATCTGGGGTTTTCCCAAATGCCCATTCCCTTTACACAGAATTTATAAGCCTTCAATAAGAGCTGACTGTAATGAGTATTTTCAGTGTGTTCTTTTCCATCTAGGGCATTATGTCTGATTTACATATCATACCTTCTCTCCTAAAAGCCCATCTCCAGGAGGGCCTCGTGGTCCTGGCATTCCTTGAATTCCTTGTTCCCCCTAATGATAATCCAAGTAGTGATATTAACTCTTTGTAATCATTAATCATGCTTTAAGTTTAAATGTTCAAAGAGAAAGTGTTTCAAACTGCATTTTAACAAGTATCTTGAGGCACTTGAGACAATGTAGTAGCTAGCTTATATTTCTCAAATATTTCTTCAGTATAAAGTTATATAATATTGAAAAACCACATTGTTAATTTTAATTTGTTCCCTCTTTCTATCCCATTTCATTCATTCTCATTCCCTTTTTCTTATTTCTGTCTTTTGAGTGTGTCTCATCTGACTGATGCTTTGGGTAAAAGTGCATGTTACAGGGAAAAATTAATAGTACACATAGATTCAGGATGGAGACTCTTTCTCTATCATAGATGGTATTCATATAACTACTTCAGGCTGTCTCCATGGGCATGAGAGCTGAGGAAGAAAAAATGGTATTTTTAATTTTGTAAAGGTATCTTTGATGAAAGTTCCTTCCTTCCAACACGTGTGCTTGGGCTTGTTGTTCACAGCAGTAGATACAGAACATACTTTGTACGTGCTCCCATTATCCTTCTCATTTTCTTGCCTGAGGCTCTCTTCATATAAGAAACTATGTGAAATCTCCTTAACACTGTGATGGTCAGAGTGACCGCTCAGCACAGGTTAAATATTGGAGACATGAAGCCTTTTTACCTTAGTTCCTTGAATACCTTCACCAGGAGGTCCCAGAGAGCCAGGTGGCCCTGGGCGTCCTATGGTTCCCTAGAGAATATTCATAATAAAAATACACAATAAATTGTTATACCACCATGTAATTTCTTGTCCACCCTCTACCAGACATTTCCTTTTATAAGTAGTGAGGATAAGATTGCTCTGTCTGACAAAGACTCATTTCAGCCTTTATCAGATTATTAAAATCCAATTTATACTTCAAAGGAGTCACTTGGTTTAATGATTACTGAACATAAATAACCTTGCTGAGAGATATATATGTTGTGTTGAAGGAAGGATTGTATTGGTGGGATATTGGGGACTGAATTAAGATTTAAGAGAGGATTATTATTGTTTTGTTATCTTTCATCACCATTAAGTAAGACCCATGGGCATACATACTAATGTGGCATTGCAAATAAATACTTGTTGCTAATTCATAAGATAGTTTTCAAAAGAACTCTAGAGAAAATGTTTCCATTCCATATGTTATTCACAGGAAGCAGTCAAAACTCACATAGAGAAATATTAATTTCATGCCTATATTGCTATTCCAGTATCCCTGCATGAAATTCTCTCTTTCCTCATTTGTAAGGATACTGTGCACATGCCAGTCCTTGGGACTAGTCCTGGCTGGGGAAGTGCTTCACCAGTGCTTTGCTCTGGATGTGGTTTTCATGCCAATGTGAACTGAATCTCTGGGACCAATAAGCCACATTGTGCAGGTAACACATTATTATGTTGCATAATCTTTGCATTTGACTTTGTTGAGTTCCTTTACATTTACATTCTACACCATTTCTTTTGCATTAGTAGACTTCTAAAACTGAGCTGTAGGAGCATAAGAATTTCCAATTTGGGAGGTTTCATAGTGAAAATTGCTTTTTATAGTTACAATTACTTTCAGGCCTTTGTCATGATGTATATTATAACTACAAAAATAATCCTTTTTTTCAAGGATCGATTCCTTATTGGTCATTATATGTTTATTAGGTTGGTATAGTAAAAAAGAAGAATTAATTCCAGAAGAACTCAACAGTATGCCTATAGCTGTAACAGTAGCATGGGCAAGACACACTAAGTGCCTGCCAGGCCATTAATTTTGACCAATGCCAGGTTTGAAGAAACTTTTGCTACTCAGGTGCAGCTAATGCCTGCAGGAGCTAAATGTTTTGTCACTGATCTTCACTGCAAGGTTATCATTTATCATATGCAACTGGAAGAAGGCTATGGTTTATGGCTAGTTACCAGAAACATTTTTGATTTGCTACGAAATAAAGATTATTTGTTGGATTAATTGTTTCTAGTGAAGAGTGAAGACAGAAGACATGTGGATGTCTATGCACGTCTATGCATTTTTATAGTATAGTTTGTTTGTTTGTTTTTTAGAAAAAAGACAAAGGGAGACATAATTGTTAAATCTCTTACTTTTGGTCCTGGCAAACCTTCTCCTGGTGGCCCGGGGAGGCCAGCTGGTCCTCTAATACCAGGATCACCCTGAAAGGCGATACTTTAAGAGATAAGTAGTGAATACAAAAGTTTAATTTATCTCTAGGATTCCCAGCACCTCTTATACTCAAATGGGACAAAGAGAAGAGAACTATTGAACAACATGGTGCAAGTCCAAACAGTGATAACTCATGAATATGGCAGGCAGGACAAGGAAGTTACTGGGGATAAACAGCTAGTGGTCTAAACATATTCAAGACATGCACAGCCAATTATGCACAGTTACACAGGAATTACAGTTCCCATGTTGAAAACAAAACAAAAAACCCACAAAGATTTTGCTTGCTGTCAGTTGAGTCACACTCTATGTTCAAATTGCCACTGTTCTATCTTTTTACTATCACTGTCTCCAGACAGCTAGGGGTTTGAGGTCAGTGGAAAAAAGATGCATGTCCTTTTAAGAGACATTAAGCATGTTTAAATAGTTGCAGTCAATTCTTCAATTGCCTGTATAATGCCAGTAATCCTGCAATCTGCATCAGGATGAGTTCTGAAGTGAAGCTTGAAGAGCTTCTATGGGATCTATCTTTTATATACTGACAAGGAAGTTAAAGCTGGACTAAATAGGTATTCTGACTGTGACATATAAGTAAGAATTATATCTCCACGAAGTAACATATACATATATATATACACATATATATATACATATACATATGCATTTACTTTTCTAGAAGTTAAGGTCTGTACCTTAGGTCCTGGTAGTCCAACTCCATCTGGGCCTTGTTCACCAGGAATCCCAGGGAGGCCTGGCAAGCCCTGAAATTATATACACAGACAACATAAATTTAATTTATGGCTATATTGACTATGTGCTTCTGTTAACATTTGTATGGTAGTGTCTTGAATATATTGTCTCTTGGTGGGATCACTTTAGTCTACAATTGGTTAAATTTTATAAACCAGAAGTGGTGTCAGTGGCATTTGTGTGTGTGTTGAATGCCGTGCAGGGGGCTTGCATGTGTTTGAAGACAGAGGAGTCTAATCTGGAAAGACAGTTGCCACAGCCATTCTGCACTGCATAATCAAGAGAAGTGGAGGACAGGGAAGGTCTTGCACTATTTCAGAAGGAGATTTTCCTTCTATGCTGAAATGCATTTCCACAGTTGAGGAGTCTTTTTAGGCCTTTAGACCAACAAATCTTTCCTAGCATGTCAGACACAGAGGCAAATCACTTACATGTAGCACTTATTTGTTCCCAATTCACATAAAAAAAAAGTCTCTAAACTTACAGGTGGGCCGGGATAACCATCTCCTTTTGGCCCAAAGGGCCCCGGGGGTCCTGGAAGGCCTTGGTCACCCTGATGAAGGCAGGAAAAACCTCTGAGTGAATGCCAATACAGTTGTTAGCAGGAAATTTTCCATGGAAGTCAAACTTCTGTGGCAAATATTCTGTAAATTGATTTTATCTGTCTATCTGCTAATGTATTTTACTATGTAAATTATTATTTTAGGTTTATTTAATCCTGGATTAAAACAGTACCAGCTCAGGATTTACAGGAGCATTCACTTCTATGAAACTAATTTTAGTATTTTTCAAGAGCTCTGTCTGTTGTAATTTGTTGCCTACATATAAGAAGAAATTCTGTTATTTGCATTCCCCATATTTTTATCATAATTTTATCATAATTTGTTCTAGAATTGTATTTTCCTATAATGCTATGGAGCCTCATTAAAACTTCTAGCGGGAGCTTCCTATGGGAGATGTATAATTAAGCTTCTTTCATGGATGCAGACAGCTGGATTATTCAGGAACAGATTTACCAAGAAAACTAAAAGGACTTTAACCCTCCCAACCACACTGGATGGTGCAGTGAACTGCTCAGTTACAGTTGAATGGATGATCAAGACTGTGTTTATCCCTGTAGCAAAATGTGGGCATGCAGAAATAACGCAAAAATAATTTAAAAAAATGAGATTGTAAAAGGCTTTCCCCTGTACAGCTTAGTGCAGATGTGTGTCTGAGAATGAAGGAACAGCAAACCCACTAATGCTGACAAAGACAGCAAAAAGTGAAGAACATAGTCACAGAAACAGGCAGTGTCACCCAGCTGAAAGAGCTTTGAGGACTCAAGGCTGAGGGAGAGAGACTTGCAGCTCTGAGCAAAGGGCTTGCTTCCTGTTGATTGATTCCTGTTGGATCCCCAGAAATGGGACAACATGCAATTCTCTGAATTAGCTGGACTATACCAGAAAAGTACGTGATTCCATCATCATAATCTCCTCCTGATGAAAATAAATGTAAGGATCTTGAAAACCGCTGACTTATCAAAAAGGGATAGAGATTGTTACACGCTTCTCATGCTTCTCTTACTGTGTTCAGTTCACTCAAAGAACAAATGTACTGTCAAATTCAATAAGGAAAAAAAGGGGGGGGCAAGCAGGATCCAGTATATTTTGAGAAACACAGGTTTATATGTCCCGAGTTTCTTGGTGTTCAAACAAAATCATTCCTGGAATGAAGAGTGGATTATGAAACTCGAATCTAGGTACCACTGAGGCAATACTAGAAAAGTGCTAGAGGGAAATTCGTAGCTACTTGTTCGTGTTCTTCTTGCACTACTTAAGGTATTTCTTCTCACAGTGCCAGTTTGGCCCATATCCTGAGACCTTTTTGGAGTCTATAGATTACCATGTGTCAAAATTAGGAATGAAGCAAAGGAGCCTGGATGAGAAAAATTAACTGTACTTGACATGTAGGCTGTTGTAAGCACAGTTAACAGGTGTCCTCTCTGCATTCACTTCTAATCAATTAGAAACAGTCATTCTTCTCCTGGTTCTCTGCCATCTGAAAGCTTCTGGAAGATTGACCATCCATGGTTTTCTGGCTCTGCAGATCCTTATACAGAGCTGTAGGACACATTTGTTAAGAACTGTGAAACACTTGGCCATCCTAGGAGATTTTTGTTGCTTTACTGAAATCCTCCTGGCTTATTTTACAGTTCTATCAGAAACTAGTTTAACAATTTAGAAACTACCTTTGCCCCAGGAAGTCCAAAACCTGGTTCTCCAATTGGTCCAGCAAGACCAGGTAACCCAATGTCACCCTGCAATGAAGAAAATAAATACTCCTGTTATGTATTTTATTAAACTCCGATCACAGGCTGGTTTTCTGTTATATATATCAAACATAATAGCTAATTTTATTTATTGCTACTGCAAGCATTAAAACCCAAAAGCAGAATAAAGAAAAGTATTTTGATATCCAAGGTTATTCAAAATAAACAATCAACAAAAGTAGGCCATACCTCAACCTGCCATACAGTTAATACGAGAGCACTGTGGTAACTAGACTGGATATAATCCATAACTCTATTCATAGGAAAGAAGAAGTTTTAGTTGACCTTCTGAGGCTGAAATTGTTTAAACAAGTATTAGCATAGCCTACTTCAGTTTTCACCCTGTGTTTATAGGCACTAGGAGCTGGAATCTGGATGTTACCTTTGGCCCAGGCACAGCTCTTCCAGGAGGGCCTGGCATTCCAAGACGTCCTGGTGCACCAGGCTCTCCCTGCAGTGAAGGAAGGAGAGAAAAACCAATGGATTTTTCTGAAAGTGAGCATGACCATCTCATATAGAAAACATTTATGCAATAATTTACAATATTCCATTAAAATTCTATTAGAATTTCTAATATGCAGTTCTATGTGGAATATCTGTGGAATATGTTTGAAGAACTGATAACAAGCATACTTCTGTTTTCTCAATGGAAATGAGATCCTTCTCAGTCACTGCACAAACAGATGCTATTAGAAGTCCCTTTCTTAGTATATTTGAGACTTAGTCATACAGCACTCAAGACTTCCTGCCCAGCTCTGTAGGTATACTGAAAACATGTATACTTTTCTGTTAGATTAGATTTTTATGAAAATAGTCCTTTCAGTGTACTTTTTAACCTCTTTTACCTTTTATGTGGAAATACTCTTGTGTGTATAAATAGCAAAAGACTTATTAAGAAACTGGAGGAGAAACCTAGAGTAGCTCTTCTCTAACTTTCAGTGAGAACTGAGTATTTTAATGGAAACTCCAAATTCATAAAAGAATATCAGCTATGAGTCAGTGTAAGGGAAAATAAAGTCCTGTCATATATGTATATTCCATACATAATACTATCTTCCCAAATATTTCAGTATAAAAATAACAGTAGATATCTTAACTTTTTGTAAACCAACAGGGAAGCAATGTGGTAAAGGCAAAGTTTTTAAAAAAATGCTTCTAGCTGTTTACAGGGATCATGGTGTGTCTTGCTAAGAGAAGCGTTAGCTGGACTTTTTTTTTTATTATTATTATTTAATGAAGCAAGTTCATTCTGGAACAGTTGTTTCTGAGATCTGGGACAAAGCACAGCTTTAGGAGGCTATTTTACACACAAAACATAGTAATAAACTCACTTTAGCTCCAGGAGGTCCAGGCACTCCTGCTGGTCCTGTTAATCCACGTATTCCTCTCTGACCTTGATCTCCCTACAAAAATGGAGAAGACATGTCACACATACTAAATAATATTAAGAATTATTATTATTATTATAAGAATGTGCTAACTGGAATTAACTGTAAGTGTCAGTGAAAGATATCAAAGATCTATCTTGTAGGTGGTGCACATGAGCTGTTCCTATTGCCTTCATTGGCAAGTCAGTTAATTCTGCTCAGTAATTGTCCAGTTTTGGATTGCTACAGTTACAACTACGTAGATTTAATCCAAAACTGACTTACCAGTGAATACTGTGGAAAAAAAAAACAACCCAAAAGGAATCTTAAAGATTGAATCCTTGCAGCTGAAAACTAAGTTATTACATTAAAAAGATACTATCTAAGAAAAATTATCAAACCAGGAAAATATAATTCACTTGGTAGTACTTTTTTTTTGATTCTAAGGCAAATAGGGCCAATCAATTGATCACGATGCTTTGTCTGATTGACCAGCTTACACTTCTGGGAAGAAAAACTGAGAATAATGTAAAGTTTGTAAAAGGAAAGCTGGTATTCAAGAGGATTATTAGGCTGTATAATTACAACAAAAATAAAACTGTGAGTCCAGAATAATATTTTTTTGTTACTTATATTAGACAAAAAAAGCCAAGGCTTTGACAATCTTATTCTTGGAACATTACAATATCGTGTGACATCTTTAGTAAGAAATTCTCACCTTTTCCCCCTGTATTCCAATCCCTGGAGCACCTTCAGGACCTCTAAGACCAGGTAACCCTGGTTCACCCTTGAATAGAAAAATCAAGGGAGCATTTCATAGCATTGCATAGACATGGTGCAAGACCAACTCTGTATTCCCTTGAATAAGTTCATTAAAATCATAGACCTTTTAGAGTCAATGACAAAACTCCCACTGATGTCAGCTGGGTTCAGGATTTTCTTCCCACATTCACAAGCATGCAGTATTAAACTCCAGGTGGAACGCATGAAGTAGCCTTAGTGATGGCTGAACACTTTGATTATATAATCTTAAATACTGGCATTTCTGATTCTAGGAAAATAACGTGATCAGAAGCCCAGAAAGTATTCCCATAGCCATTTTAGTGGTTTTCCTTCTGAGTTGCAGGGCATTTAGTGCATTTTAAAAAGCCAAAACCTGTAAACAATGTAAGACAATGCCCCACCCCAAAAAAGTAGAGAAAGCAAAGTTTACCCTAAAAAAGTATATTCGAAAGAGAATTCTTTTCACCGAAAAAGTGTGGTGCTTTTCCACTCTCTCTTCTAGGTCCAGGTATCAGCACAGGGAGAGCAGTAGGAGTGCTTGGAGGGAAGCAGGCAGACTGCAGACAGAGATGAACCAACCTTTTGTCCAGGGGCTCCATCTTCTCCTGGAAGACCAGGCAGACCTGCCAGTCCTGAAGGCCCTGGCTCACCCTAACATCAATAAAAAGTAAATCCTTCTATTAAATTCAGACTTGGTACTAATCTTTCTCTGACTTGAGGAAATCTATTTAATTTTTTTTCTAAACTTTAAATGTATTTATAGCACATATTTATGCATATGACCCCATATCTTGACTTTTTTATAAAGACAGCTCTCATTACCTGGTGCTTTCCTACCATCTCATTGTTTGAACTGTGCACTTTATCTGTGGAATTAAATTTCTTAGCTGTTAATGCTCCAGCTCAAACATAATGCAGTCATATCATTAAATGGCAGCATTTATCAGATAGAACTGACTGTGACATGATGATTGACATCTTGCTGGTGAATATCAGTGCAAATCTGTTGATGGCAGTGGAATTGTCTTGGGCCTATTTATGTAAGATTCAAGAGCCTGACCTGGCTTTAGGTGAAATGGGATCATTTGGGGTCAAATGGGTTCAATCAGCATTACTGTATTTTGTGAAATTAAAGAAAGAAGTGGAATAATTTCTTTTCTTTTCCAACCCCTGTCCCAAATCTGTAACAAACAAGAGCAAAACCACGACCACCCTGTGCCTTTCTACTATCACGAAAGTACTTTTTCATCTATTCCCATATTTTATGTTAATCTGGCTGTTAATGACATAGGGAGTGGTTACTATCTTGGTCACTTCAGCACTAAGATAATCTGGTTACAGCTTCCTCTCCTCTTAGCAACTGTGCTTTCCGCCTGTCAGCACAGCTTGTTTCTTGTGATGAGCGTGTGAGGATGTAGCTGCTGCTCTGTTTCCATCATATTCTGGTTGAAAAGGGAAGGAACAGCACAATAACCACTATTCAGTGCTTTTTTTCACCTCTCTGGCTATAGTGTAGCTTACACTTGGGACTGTAAATTCTGCCAACTGTTTCATATTCTGGATGGTTTTCTGGACAGAGCTGTAGGTGAGCTGTATGCAGCACTGACTTGAGCATGGGTCAGGCACGTGGAAATTTCTCTAGTCACCATAAATCTTACTACTTTGTACAGAAGTGGTATATTTAAAATGTTCCCATATCTAGAGGTTATTGAAAGTCTGGCTTAAAAATTTAAAAGACTAAGACCCTAGATTTTATTTCTAAACCTATTTTAGTGTCTACAGAAAGGATACTCAGGAAACACAAATTTATAATCTGAATAAAAAAATAGATAAAATAATTCCTCTATTAACAATGTACCTTAGAACCAGGTTCTCCAATACCTCTTTCTCCTGGCACTCCAGTCTCTCCAGGCAAGCCTTGTTCACCCTTAAGTAGATATTAGTTTTTGACAGCATTATTATGGAAAAGTATCAAAGCATACGCTTCGTTGCTTACATATAAAGGAAGATTAGTATGATATTGTCTTTAGTACGATGTGTTAAACCCTTGGTCACAAAGATTGGGAATCTGCCACATATTTTGAGCTGTCACCAGAGTCATTGTTGGAAATTATAAAAGCTGTAAATCTATAGTTATATGTCACTGGGAATCTTTCCTTCCAAAGTAGCTGATATTTCAGGAGCATATCTGGCTTCCACAGATAATTCATTCTTCTCTTTCTTTTTTACCAGTGATAAAGCATATCCCTGCACAATCACTTTAAATGTAAGAGGTGACATCTGCTGCTGCAAAATTCTTTACCTTTTATGGACACTTGACCCACTTACACCTCTGGTTCCTTTATACCATGCTTTAATAGCCTTCAGTCATTCAGAACTTTATTTGTCATGTCTTTCAGGAAATCCGTTTAAATCTCAATTCCAAACACTTCTAGGGTGACGTCTTTTATTAACAGTTCTGTATTTTGCAAATCTGTCAAGGCTAAATTATTCTAACGCTTTTCCTTCAGCAAAGGTAATCTTCATTACACCTTGGACCATTTTTAACGTCTAGATACAGTAAATACACAAATTCAACAGTGAGACAACAGTCAGCAGAAGCAACAAGGAAGGCAGCCAGTCTCTAAGGTATCTATGTATGTATTTTTCTGGCATGAAAACAGTACAGTGAGGATAAACATGATATTGAAATTTTGGTGTTCCTCTCTGTTAAGTGCAGTTACTTTTCGGAACTGTTTCACTGCCCCTGCATGTGATATGATGGAACTGCAAGTTCAAGGCAGACAACGCTCTAAATGGAAATGTACTGGACGAAGTGCAGCTCACTGTCTGGTATGTGGTACCTCAAAGGTTCTGTGTTGACTCAAGCCCAAACTGAAATACATAGCCGTGGCATCAATTTACAAAGGCTTTTCACTAGAGTTGTATCTGCTGTACAGTTTTATAATATTAATAAAGAAAATAATTTTCTGCATCTACGTCAATACTTAGATTGCTGTTCAGCACTTTAACATGGATAAAGATAGAGACAGACCATTTCCTAATCATGAAACATAACAGTAAAAACAGCACAGTAGCTTTTACTTCAGAAAATTCCCTAACCTTTGGTCCAGGTAGTCCCTGTCCTGGTAGCCCTCTAGAGCCAGGTGGTCCTTTTGGGCCTTCTACTCCCTGAGAAGATTAGTTAAGTAATTATTAAAAATAAAATAGTTTCTGTTACTATACATTTAAGTATGAGGTGAGGGGGAAGTGAAAATTGCACCTTCTCTCCTTGAATTCCAATTCCAGGTAATCCAACTGGTCCAGGTAAACCAGGTGGACCAAATTCACCCTGGCAAAAAAAGTACAATTGCTTAGTTGTGAAAAGATACAGAAACAATCTGGGACAACTCCCATGCTAGTTGACTTAACCTCTCTTGAAGTTGGGGAATCTGATCTCTCATTTTTCATATATGCATTTATTTTGTGCTAGTTCAGCTGCAAACAACTGCTAGTCTCTTTTTCCCTTTTTAAACCTAAATTTTCCCACAGAATCAGATGCTTTTTCTAACATCTGTTTTAATATGAAGAAATATTAAAATAGGTTTGGAGAATTTATTGGACATAAATGTCAACAAAATACCATATTATCCAGGGTCTTTTGTGAGTTCCTTGCCTCATTACACCTTTTGCAGTGAATATCAATCCCATATTCCCTGTATTATGTAGATTTATTGGCACTTCATTAATCCCCTGGTGTATTCCTTGCTCACCTTTTCACCTTTTATGCTGATGCCTGGAAGTCCACGAGGGCCTTTTGGTCCATCAAAACCACGGTCGCCCTACATGAAAAAATAATATGTTGTTAACTGTGTAACTAGAGACAGTGCTTACTCTGTCATCATGAAAACCAAAATGAGAACCAGAAAGCGGCTCCTGAATCTGTGTTCCAGAGGTGATCCTTTCAAATGAGTTTGCTCTGCAGTTTGAAATTGCTGATGAAAGAGCTGAACAAGCTTCTTTTTATCTTTCTGCCCATCTCAATTGCTTAAGGTCCTGTTTTGCTTCCTCTCAAATCAATGGCAAAACCAGAACTGATTTAAATGTTCACAGAGCTGAGTATTGAGACTAACTGAAAACTGAATTCTGCTGATTTGTCTCATGGGTTAATCTCCTGGCAAGGAGGATCTGGCTCTCACTAAGCATTTTGCCAGATTGAAGACCAGGCCAACAGTATTGTTGTAGAAGTCTAGTTGTAAATGTAATTGTCTTTCTAAATGTTTGTTTACAAAGCAGTGGTCTTGGGAAAGTGCAAGTTACTAATAAGGATGCAAATATTGTGCTTTCTTGTACTTATGTTAATAAAACATGTAAAGGCAGATGTTAGCTTGTATAAATTGTCACAGAATCACTGAGACATCAAAGTTATGCTCCAGATGGGTCTTTTCTATCCCCAGTAATCAATTCCATTGTTTTAACTTTGACTAAAATACATTATGTGGATTTCTGTTTTAAATTCTTTACTCCTGATGCTTTAGAACATCTGCCTTCATTATCCTTCTTGTGGGCTTGTAGTAAAGACACTGTGAAAAAAGCAACTGTAAATTTGCTTAGATTAACAAATCACCTGTTTAAAATGTGTTTAAAACCAGAAAGTTGACATGCTTGGCAGCCATAAATAGGATTAGAGATACAGACTCTGTTGATACATGCTTGGCTCCAGGTCAGACTTGGCAGTAAAAAGTAATTCATTTTTTATAGAACCAAGAGTTCCAATAGTGCTGGCAGAATTCCACTTTGATTATTTTATTCTGTCTATCTATCTCAATTGCTTAATAGTTTTGGTTAGATTATGCACTTGTCTGTACTTGTTCCCACTGTGCCTTGCTGCTGTGCTTTACTTATTAGTTGTAGTTTCTTCCCACATAAATTGGTGTTTCAGTGGCAATGGAGTGATTTTAAAGTGCATTTTCTTCAAATTGGTTTTTTTTGTTTTTTTCATTCATGAGATCTGCTAAGCAAATACAAGCCACCAACAATGAGGTTAAATGATTTATATAATTCATCATAAAATATACACTGGATGTTTGAAGATATTATGTTGCTAGCAGCAGTTAAATTTAAACCTAGCTGACTACAATATTGTGCTAAGCAGAAATCCTAAGATTTTTGTAAAAGGACAGTTGGGCTCTGCATCTGTGAAACAATTTGTTGTTGTTTTCCCAACCACAATTGCCTTGGTGCATACATAAAAATGAGCAAACTGTTCAGCTGCTTATTTAGCTTGTGTACAAGCCGTGTCACTTCGTTATTGTAACCAAAGGCTGAAGTGACAAACTCGGCCTGGGAACTGGTTTTCACTGAGCAGCAAAAGGATCTTCTAGTGAATCCATCCATGCAGGTACAACTACTACTGCCATTATTTCCACTGGATCTGAAAATTAGTAAGAGCAGCTTTCTTTTGCCACAAACTGAATTCAGACTTCTGCTAAAATGCATAAGCTGGTGGCTGAGGTATGTAATAAGCTTAGAAGCCTGTCTTAGAAAAAAGCAACAACAAAATACTAAATTTTTCATCTAGAAACAATTTTATAGTATTTTATTTATGCTTAAGGCTGTTTTAAAATTATAGCTGGAACTCATTCCATGCTTAGATCCCACAAATCAAGCATCAGGGGAATTAAATATCGGCTTTCCAGGCCCCAAAGGCTAGCTGTGCCTACAAGTCATGTTTGGACCAAGTGAATTCCATGAAAATATATTGGGTTGTTTGATGCCAAATTTTAACGTTAATTTACAAGGTACTTTTCTCAGATTCCTGTGCCTGCTATGGACTTGTTTTGGCGTGCACTCATTGAATGGTGCTGCTCTGGTCTTAAAACCCTTTGACTGCTGTACCTTCGCTCCTGGAAGCCCTTCTCCTGGTGAACCTCTTTCTCCTTGAACTCCTTGTGGTCCTTGAGGCCCCTGTTAACATAAGTTTAAAATGACCTAGAATACGTATTAATCACTCAAATGAACAGCAGTGTGTTCTATGTCTTTGTCAATTATAAGCACATGTTCAAATGTTGGTGTAGTGATATCCTGTTAAAAATAATACAGTAATACTCTATTTCCAGGGAATAAGTGATGAGCATTCAGGCCTGCAGCAATAACAATATTTTTCTGGTTACCAATGAATCACAGGTTATGTAGCTGAAATTTCTATTCCTTATACTTTTGAATCTTCACTCCCTAAACTTCTGTTTTAGAAATTCTTACTAATCTTTATTAATGTATCAGTATAATCATGAGAGATGGAGAACCAGATTAAAGCCCAGAATAGTGCTGAGGGAGACAAGGCTGTAGAGTTATTTGATTGTAATTGGCAGAGAGAGTAATAGCATGCCCTTCTCTTTTTGAAAGCAGATCTGGAAGGGCACAAGGGGCAAATAAGACAACCAAAACATTTTACTAAATGCAAGTCCAAAATCTGTGCATATTTAGCCTCCTTCACTGTGTTTTCCAGCATCTGGTTTTTCTGTGTTTTTTTTTCTGATTTATTCCTTGAGGTGACACACACACTACAGAATGCTGGTAGATTTGGCTTTGCATAGCCTAAATATACTTCTGCACAGAGCTTTAGAATTATTCCTAGTTCTTAGGTAAAGATAATTACACTGCATTCAGCCATGAGAGAAACTTCTTCTGAAGCAAATAAATTTTAAAGTAAATTAAAGAAACATCCTTAGGATATTCTTTAAAAAAATCAATCTTTTGTTATAGCGGTACAGCTTTTGTGGTTAGCAAAGATTCACATCACAGGCACCTCTTCCCCCAAGAAGTGGTTCTTTGCTCTGTGGTGTTATTGAAGAGACTTTGCAAGCACTTCAACTGTCACCACTGGCCTGATTCATACTACTCTTTTCCTTGGGCTCTTCAGCAAGAACTCGCTCCCCTCCAGTAGTGTATTTTCAGCAGGTTTGAGATCAGTCAGTTCAGCTACCAAACAATCTTTCTCTTTTTCACGAAAGCACCTCTTTTGAAATTATTATTACGGATCTTTCCTTGTCACTGGGGAAAAGCTACTTGTGAAAAAAAACTGGACAAACTTTCCCTCCTGGTTGCATTAGAAGTCTTTCATCCAGGTGATGGGAAATGCTGTACTGTATTTAACTGAGTAAAACGTGCTGCTTGACATTTAGAAAAAAAATGACCATAAAATTTACGCTCTGATTTTCTGAATTACCACAAAGAGGTTGAGTTTACAACTACCAGCAGGAGGAACGGGAGGAAAAGAAGGAAGAGACTTCAGAGCCAAACCTACTATAAATTCTGAAGTTCTCCCCCTGAAAGCCATGCTGGTGTTAACATTCTAGTGGTACTGAAAAGCAGTCAACTTAGAAGTTATCACTTAGGGATTTGAACCTGTCAGGCGACAGATTTTTTTAAGTATTTATGTGATTTTGCATAAGATGTTGGTTTTTTCATAGCTGCTTTGGAAGCAAAGATAATTAGAAAAGTTAATAAATTGGAAACATTTCCAGTTTATTGTGGGAAATGAGTCAGACAATGTAGTATGTATGACAGTGAGAAACAGTGGAAGAAGGGAAAGAGATGGTATCATTTAACACAGATTTTTACAGGGAAGCATAGGGAATTTTCCCTTTCTGTCCTGCTTCCTTCTCACCAAATAAAAGACAGACATACCATAAATCCTGGCTCACCAACTCCAGGTGGCCCAATGGGGCCTGGTCTTCCTGTCAAACCGGTGTCACCCTTCAAACAAAGACGTATTTTGAATATGCTTGATTTAGGTACTTTTATGTGTGCAGCATATAACAACTCATCAGACATTCTGTGCTTGAAATACTAGATGTAGTAGAATACAGGAATGGCAGAGAAAATCTGAGTGTCCTCATAATCATACAACATGCAAGGCCGAACAGACATTGAACTGGTGTAGTTTCACAGCATGCATTTCTATGCATTTAAGAGAAGACAATGTTGAATCTAAACAGTTAATTATTCCCATCATATTCCCAGTCAAGAAATCAGTATTTCTATCATAGAGTTTTTGTTCTCTTTATGCCAATCATCTAGATCAACAAGCCTGTTTTGCACAGAATAACTTCTGTTTAAGACTATGAATGTGTTTTTACTCAGCCATACTCTGCTTGGATTGAGTTATGTCAAGCATAACAACTACTGTAAAAAAGTCCTTTAAAATACATACTTAAAATTCACTTCTTTTGTTCCAAACAGTTTTGATCAACATACAAAATACTTTTCCAGTACCACAAAAACAGCATTTAGGGATTTGAAGCTTCTCATGTATCACCAAGTCTATTATCTCAGCTGTCTTGATCTTTGTTCTTATCCCACAATACATGCAATACAGAAGATGAGAGATGCTTGTACCTTTGGGCCTGGAAGTCCTATTCCAGTCTCTCCAGGCAAGCCAGGTGGCCCAGGGAGACCTCTTTCACCCTTTCAAAGAATGGAAAAGAAACAATTCTGCTTACAAATCGGTGTCCAGGAGAATCAGTTTAATTCAGTTTGTAGGTTAACTTTTGTGTATCCTGAATTTCAACCCGTGGGAATTCTGTTCCACAGTACTTCATCTGTTTACTGCTTTCAATGCTTCAAAATTTCCTTGATTAAGAGCATAATTTATCCTATACAAAGTGATAACAGATTAAGTAAAAGGTAAAAATTTCATTTCATGTGGGATATAAAAGTTTTGACCCCCAGCTGTTCTACGCACCACTGTTGACCAGCAGGTGCTCTACATATGGTGCAAAGATGACATCAAGAGACATAACAAATACTTATTTTCAAGTTTTTCTCTACAAAAATATTCCTTTTTAGCTACAGAATTCTTCTTGAGAATGTACAGTTTCAAGGGAAGACTTGATTTGAGATGCCAAACAGAATTCCTGTTTGGCATTTAGGGAAAAAAAACCTATTAATTTAAAATCTGAAGAAATGCAATGCTGAGTAATATTCTGTGATGCTACCATATTTTAACTGTTCATAAGTGTGGTTTGGAGTGTGATTTAGACCTGAATTCAATTCAAAGAGCAAATTAATACCTTTCTTAGGAACCTTGTAAAATACAAAAAATATATGATTTGCTATCCGTGTCACATTAAATTCCATCTACTACAAGAAGGGTATAAAGATAAAATCATTACTGTTATGAGGGTATATTAATACCTTTTAGCATTAATAAAGAGAAGAAATAATGCCGTTCTTGCCTTTGATCCTTGCAGGCCTTCAGGCCCTTGATCTCCAGGTTGTCCTTGTGGACCCTGTTAAAACAGGAGTGGTTTTAATGAGATTTTTCATGTTTTCATAACAATGGCATCTTGAAAAACCAATCTGTAATTTGCTGTACTCTGCATGATAATAAGAATTTCAGACATTTCAGAACTGAAGCTTTGCTTTCTGATGCATGTATAGATTGAGTAATCAGCTCAGTTGGAGCTGGGTCTGGTAATCAAGGGAGAGGATTTGGCTCTCCCTTTATTTGAATACAGTTAAAGGTAATCTACAGTCAAGATTTACTGGGCTAATTTATGATGGGCTAAGCTTTGTGGCGTTCAGTCCAATGGTTTTGGGATGACAAGAGACAAATGAGTTTCCGTGTACTTCTTGAGATAGTGAAATAGTTAAGACATTAAACAGGAAATGAGTGATTTTGTTTTTTATGGAACGGTATTTGCTGTAATCTTTGAGACCATGAATTATAAGGATGATTTTTTTATCTAGACTGCTTTTCCAAATTCTCGTTAATTTTGCTATTTAAGAATATAGATTTTGTGTGCCTTGAACTCAGCAACTCAAAGATTCCATGACATTTGTGGTATGGTATTATTTCAGAGCTTTGAATTCAGAGAACTAGGAATAGTTTCTTTTTTTGTTTGTTTGGAGAGGTTTTTGTCTGTGTAAATGTTTGTAGGGTTTTTTTTACCTGTAGGCCTCTTATTCCTCTTTGGCCTACTGGACCTTCAGGACCCTGAAAGATAAGTGAAAAAAATGTTATATTTATGTATATATAGATTTCATCAAAACCCCTTTTAGATAACTTTTTACTAAGCTATCTTATTTAGATAGCTTTACATTAAAATAAAAACTAAATTTAAGAGAAGCTCAGTAGCCAGAAAGTATTAAATATTTTTTAAATGGACTCGTAATCAAAACAGAGAGTAACAATGAACAGAGTTTATTATCAAGGACTGGTAATCCAGGATTAAACTCTGGTTGTTTCATTTAAAATATTTACAGCAATTATACACTGAAAAGACTGAAGTTCGAAACATTAATTTCATTTTTAGCTCTCTTCTCTTTTGCTTACTACTTCAAGCCTTCTGCCTCTGTTAAAGTTTTACCATTGTTATAAACGTGAAAATGTAGGAAGAGCTGAGAAGGTTATTGAAAATGGTGTCCTTGCTCACTTCATATTTTAAAACAGTCAGCTGTTAATTTCCCTCAGCCTTAGAATTCATATATGCCTTAAATCTCTCACCATGATTGTTATTCAGAGAATTGTAGTTGTTCTGTGGTTTAGCTGTGTTTTCTGAAAGCATAACAACTTTGTGGCTACTTACTGTGTCTCCTTTTATTCCTGGGATTCCACATTCACCTCTTTCACCCTGGAAAGGAATAGGAATAAATATTTATGAGGTATATTGGCATATCATCCTCATTCTCTGGGTGCTTTAGTTGAAAACCTAGCTGTTATTCTATTCATGACATATTATAGCAATTGTGTTTTAATTTCATTGAGGAAGAGTCTCATCTTCTATTACAGCTTGTACAGCAACTGCTAAGATGATGTTATTGTTCATTACTAGTATTTATAGGAAATATGGCACTATACATAATAAATAATTATAACATCAAATATGTAAGTATAAGATCTGACTAAAAGAAGTACCTTCTCTCCTTTATATCCAGATTTCCCCTGGAAAAATAAAAAAGCAAAGCAGGTTGTGAAAATATATAATCTAAATGTAAGAGTGTGAGTATTGGGTCCATTAACATTCTACTCTCTCCAGGAAAACAGCATTTCAAGTAGAAAAGATGATCTCTGATAAACACGGCAATATGAGTCGAAGTACTGCGCTTACTGGTCATGGTAGAGGCTGTTGTATGAGTGAACAAATCTTATGAAAGGGTCATTTTCGACTGGGATTTTGGTGATGTAAAAGCAGATCAAGTAGAGCTCGTATTTCCGTCTTAGTAAGAAACACGATAAAATAAGAAAGCAAGAAAAAAATCACCAATTAAAAAGGATATACTGAGTAAATTAGAAAACATGAAGCAGAGTGATTCATATGTGAATGACTTCTGTATTAAGCACTAAGAGACTGGTCCTACTGTTAGTTCCTATGCATATTTCATTCAACTTTTTCATTGCTGTTATACACATTGCTGTTATATATCTTTATTTGCCAAATGAGAAATTTAACCCAGAATGGTGCAGGCAGAGTGTCGATTTCTGTAATGTTCTTAAATTAATATATCAGAGCATTTCACACTTTTTGGGAGGGACTATGGATTATCAGAGAGTATTTTTTAAATCACACTTACAAGAAGAAATTATTACTTTTCATTAAACAATGAGAATTTTTTCGGTTCTTCTTGTGTTAATGAATCTTTAGTTGGTAAACCAGAATTGAAATTTGCTGTTATAATTAAACAAAACAAAACAAAAGTGGTGTTTTGCCTTAAAGAAACACTGCTTATTGCACTAGTCACTGGAGAATAAGGGAAAAAACCTTTTTTACCTCTATTCCATCTTGTCCTGGGATTCCATTAAGACCTGGCTCCCCCTATGAACAATCCAAAATCAAGATCAGTGAAATAAGGGAAATCAGGATTGTCCTGATTGTCTGAATAGATATCTCAGTATCTACAGAGATGCAATAGAGAGAGCACACCAGCTTTTATGTGTTAGATACAAGCTTTTAATTTGTAAAGAATACTTGTCTTTACAACAGCAAAAGGGGGTAGATGAAGTTTAAGAGATTCACAGGTGGAAAGGACATAGGCAATGTTAGGATAATCTTTCCATATTAATAAAGGACCAAATCTTTCTCCTAAATCTGAAAAATCACCTTTGCTCCTTTCAGACCTGGAGCTCCGTCGTCCCCAGTGCGACCCTTTTTACCCTGGAAACAAAATAAGATTCTTATAACATATGTTGGTAAAATAATTTTGTTTTACAATATATATGCTATTTTTTTGTATTTAGGATATTTGCTTCCAATAGATTTTTAAAAATCTCTGCATTTACCATAACCTTGAAATTGAATTTCTGGGAACAGCAGGACCAACTCAATGGGCAGCCATTTTTCTCTTTTGTCTTTGTTGTAAACAAATATTGTTCAGATCTCCTCTGAAGAAAAAAGGGGATTAGATGTTTTTGTAGCTACCCAGCTTGCTAAGTGGGTGTTTTGTGTTCTTCTGAACCCTTTGAGCTGTATGCTTCTGTGTAAGAGGTACCTTCACTCTCCAACTAGAGAAAGCAAATAATAACCCAAACAAAACTACTGTTTACACATAGTAGAGGCTACATTTGCAATTTAAATGTGCTTTACTCTGCAGCATAAAACCAATATGTATTTCTGTTTATGTATGTACAGGATGTTTAGGTCAAAAGTATGAGGGTGGGCAAATCTAGGGTTCTTTTCAAACTTTTTCAAACACCTTGAGCAAGGGCTATAAGGTACTATGGTCCTTTAGTTCAGTGTTAGGGATATAATATCAGATCACTCAGTTATTTTTGAGATACAAACCCTGCAGTTTAGGTCACCAAACCTTGTATGAAGCAATCCCCTAGATTTGCTTAGGGGTTCTATTTGTAAGACTATTCTGAAAGAAATCTAGCCCATCTTACCCTTTTTACAAGTATCTTGTCTGGGTTGCCATTCACTTAATGGCTCTCTCTCTTGCTTTCAGAGAGCTTTTTGGATATTAATGTTTGATTTGGGGCTCATTAGATCCAGCTGCTCTTGTCTGATTGCAACAGGTGAGTTATTGTTCCACACAGGAAAGTCGTTCTTTTCTGCCTCTTATACTGTGGCTAAAAGCAGAGCCTCACCACACCACACTGTTCTTTTCTCAGAGGGAGTGTCCCATGGCATTCTCAGGTCTCTCTCTACATTTCCTACTAGTGTGACATTTCCTACTAGTGTGACGTTTTCATGCAATTTAACTACGGAGGACTACATATTGAACCTTGAACTTTTGCTGTCTCAGGATTTGGGTTCACATAATTTCTTTTAAAAATTCCAACAATTAGTTAAATCTTGATTTATACTCTATATCAGTTATTTGAGAAATGACAGCTACTTACAGCAGGGCCAGGAAGGCCTCTTTCTCCCTTCTCACAGTTACATGTGGCAACCTGGGGACACTTTGAATGAAAATAGTAGAAATCACCATATTTTAACAGAAGAGATAGAAAACACACAGGCATCTCCCTTAAGTCACTGTATGGCTAGTCTGAGTACACCAGTAATGACCAGAAATTATATTTACGTGTTTTACAGAAATCTTTTAATTGTCAGTGAACACTCATCCATCCATTCTGGATGGAATGGCCTCCTACATTCCATCCAAAAATTTGTATCATTCCCATTCCTGAAATGTCAGTCATTTCAATAATGGCTTTACCTCCAGTCTTCACAAGGTCAGTTCATAAGTAATCTGTGTCTGTTTTGATTTGTTTTGACTGCTAGGTACTGTAGAGATAGCCAAGACAATGGGGTAAGAAAACATCTTACATTCCTTTTCTGTTTAACTCCACTATATGTAGAATAGATCATAGTTTAGCTCTATAAACAAAACATGTATGGATGTATACTTTTATTTAGTTAAAGCAATTCGTTATAACATTTTATAATCTTTCTTTCTCTTCTGTCATGTCTACCATCATGTGTCGCAGTCAAACATCATTATGGTATGTATTCATGTGATTTTTAAGATCTTTCTGAAACTTTAAAAGTGTTACATAATACAGAATTATTACAGATACTGGAGTTATTTTTGAAGGAGGGATAAAGAACGTTGTTTTTATTTTTGGTTTAGTTATTTATTAAGCCTCCACTCATCTTGGAGATGTCTAGAAGTGAAGGGTTTAAATATAATTCTTGTCTGAATATCCCAAACAATATGTTTTCCAAGGCTAACATTCAGTGTGACTGACAGAGAAAAATCAAGGTGTCAGAGGAAATGAGTGAAAAATAAAATGTTTCAAGAGAACACTCATAATATTTAGCAGTTTGCTTGAGCCGCTCATGAGAAGAGTTTTTGTCTGAGATAACTGTACCTTAAATAGCACTAGCATCTTTAAAAGGAAAGCTAACTTTATTCCCCTCAAAATGCCAGCCAGACCTACTAATGCCTGCAGTCAGGGTGACACAGTGTGGACAAACTGGAAAAATGCAATGGTGGAGCTTTGAGTTCTTCTCCTATTTTAAACTCTATTACATAGGAAGAGGATTAAGGGCTAGAAGTACACTACATTCAGCTGTGTCTCATGTTTTCTTTTCCACTGAGGTCTTTAGATGAAATGCCAAGATGTATCAGCAACTTCTTGTTAACCTGAATACTAACATATTGTTCTTTTTTAACTTGGAAAATTCATTAGGATAGCAAATTACATTGGTAATGTGTAAATTAGTGATTAGTAAATACATTAGTAAATTACATTAGGATAGCAAATTAAAGTTCTGTCCTGCAAATACAAAAACATTTAACTTGAAGGCAATCCCATTAGACTCAATACTTAACCAACTTCTTGAGCTATCAGTTTTCTTGAATTATGTTAACATATAATTGTGAATATCTATATTAAGCAGTAGTTCTGTATGGGAAGAGAAAAAGTGCTTACCCCTTCCTCAGACAGATCTTTCTGTAAAAGACAGATATTGAAAACAACATTAGAAACTTAGAGTCATAATCCAGCTTTACAGAAAGTACACTGAAAGATGTGAAAACAAATTGCTTCAGCAACTAGTTAATTAAATTATTCGATTACATAATTACTAACATTAATTAAACTTTAATTTCTGGGGAACATTCTAGCAATCTCTTCATTCTGAAAAATAATTTCAATATTTTCAATTCTTGTTATAGATTGTTGACTGAAATCACTGACTCTCTTTGTCCAGCCATAATTTACTAAAATTACAGTGATAAACAGGTTAGCTAGGTATATGGGAACAGTACACCCACAAACTACATTGTTTCCAAAGTACCCAATAGCAGCAGTTCTCTAGTAGGAGTGGAGGATACGTACTCTACACTTGAGAAAAGCAGCAGCTCTTCCACTGATACTCTTAGGTGCACACAACATGAGAACAGAACACCTTAGAAAAGATTTGACTTTGACAGTGATCACATTAGTTATTGTCATTGGGTTAGCTGTTATTTTTTAGAAGATCTCCAGGGAAACACCCAGTCCTCCCACTTTTCACAACTAATGTAGTCTCTTGAGAGAAAATAAATGTGTTGATATGCAGCAATGGAATACAAGTCTCAAAAATTCTCATGCATGCACATGTAATTATGACAAAGCCATTATTTAAACCAAACTTCTCAAAAGAAGGCACCTGAGGATGCCTGCCTGTTTGGAAGAGGTAACATAAAATGTGTTTATTCACTTGAGAGGTGGTTGCTGTGACACAGAAAGCAGTGGTAGTACCAGAGAGGATGGGAAGGGTGATGTGCAGTGAAACCAATGCAAAGGCACAGGCTGTCAAAGTGAAGGGCAGGCAGACAGGAAAACCAGCTTAGCTGCCTGCTCTAGGTCTCTATGAGAGCACTTAGGTGTCCGTTTCACTGCAGGAGTCTCCTGGGTGTTCATATTTCTAGTTTATATCTCTGTGCATGCTGAGAACAGGACTCCATCCACTGCTTGTTGGGTTATTGGCTAGACTATGGCTCTGTTTTCCATACTTGGCAGAGAATGGCTTTTATAAATGAAGTCTAAATAGAGAAGAAGGGCATACAAACAAAACTTCAATCTCAATTTGCTTATCTCCTCTTGATTATGTGGTAGGTTTTCCATGGAAATTTAAATATCACCAAGTTCAGATTTTATCTAAATTGAGCTATCTCCAAGGTCTACAAATTTATTTTCGCTTCTGTGAGAGTTGCATCTTTTGCTGATACAAAAGACAGTGTCATTTTCCTACTTACTACAGAAGAAAGCCCCAGGATGTAAAAAAACTTGACTGCTTTTTTTAAGAAAGGAGGTTTGAAATACCTTGCTTAGGAGGAAAACAGAGATAAAAATAATGTCACAACAGCTCTCTTTAAATCTAATTCAGTTTCCAACATCAAGTATTTTGGCTGACAAGGTCTGAATGGTGGGGAGAGAAACAAAACCTGTGCTCGTATCGTGATCGTATTAAGTGGGCCACAGTGATCGTATTAAGTGGGCCACTTTAACATGTAAAAAGTACAAGTTTCTTCAATAGCATAAACATTTCAAAATATTGGAAATAAGAAAATTTTTACATATGTTCCTAAAACTATTTCAATTTCTTTCTAATACATACCATTTCTTTGAGAACCTTCTCCACAGTTTCTTTCTCCTGGAGGTTGAAAACAAACCTGGATGCTGGGACACTGGCCAGGAGCCGGAGCTTGGCAGCATTGCTAATTTCCTCAGCCATTCTGGTCATTCCCATTATGAAAAATATAATTCCTTGGTGTTTAGCATCAGCTGTAGCTGCAAAAATATCTGGGTTTCTTGGATGGTCCACTCCATCGGTGAAAAGCACGGCTACTTTCACACTACCTGAAGTGCCTTCAGTCACGTAGAGTTGTGTAAGATTAGTTATAGCATAAGTTGTGTAGGTGCCATGACCTATGTAGGTGATGGGAGCAATGTGGGATTTGAATGCTTCAGGACCTTTCCAGTCATGAAAAGTTTGCTCTATGGAAACAGTGCTGCTGTACTGAAGTAAGGCCATTCTCCAGCTAAGGGTACGTCCAGAACTAAGCTGTAGTCTTTTCATTCTGTCTACTGTTTGCAGTACAAATTTTTTCTGCTGTTCATGATTATAGTCCTTAGCACTTTCAGAGCTGTCCAGTAAAAAAGAAATTTCCAGAATGCAGTCTTCATCTAGAATAAATAGGTATGTAGGTGAGTGGAGTGACTTCATACTAAATCTCATCTACCCTTACATGTATTTTAGGTTTCTAAAGTGGGAGTGCAATTATAGAAATTTTTGACTATATACGTGATCACAAGTGTGAGCCCTTCATGAAAACAGAGCATATAGAGGCTGAGGAATTTGCTCCAGAACAGATGCCCCAAGGAATAAAAAACTGAAGGTGAGTTGACGTCATGAATTATGAAATGAGGAATATTGTAGTGGTTTTTGACTTTCATTCTGTCCTCTTGCCTGGTATTTCATTGAATATCCTACCAGCATGAGGACTGGGAAGGTGGGAGTTGTATACAGGAAAATGATACTTACTGATTAAGACACTGGAATGTGATTTGACAGAGCTGGATTTTGTCCCTGGTACTGACACTCACATTCAGTGACATAAAAATTTCCAAAAGCAGGATCTGTAGCATATTAATTTTCTGAACTACTGATGACATAAAAATAAAGTTCTATGGCTATTATTATTCTTGTGACAGTAAAAGGCTATCGGCCATATCATAAAAAACACAGAAGTGATCTCCTTTTCTGAAGTACACAAAAGGGGAGGGAAAAGATGGGAGTAAAAAGAAAGAAGTGCAAAAATAAATCATGTGCAAATGTAGGATGAGGCAAACCTGGCTGATTATGAGCAGTACCATAGATGGCAAATTAGCCATATAGTCCAGAATGCAAATAAATGAGGGTAAATGCAAATAAATCAGGGTAAAAAAACCCACACCAGTTTTAAAATTACAATATTCACCTTGATCACTTGGGCTGGGATATTTCTTTACAGTATTTGACATAATGTGTTCAGGTTTTGATCTTTTCAATCCATATCTTCTTTCTTCCCTGAGATTTTCTGCTAAAGTCTCATGGTGTTCAAGTATCCACAAAAGCCAGGAGAATCTGAGAAACATCATTTGTTTGGTTTCTGTTTCCTAAACAACACAAATAATAATACAGAAGTACAGCAGTACAAGAACAATAAAACATTATTAAATTTTGATTCAACAAGTTGCTTAATAGTCTGTATTTTAAACTATAGTCCCTAAGAACAAGCTGATTTTACTTTCTTTGGGTAAAATCTTCTCAAAAGCATGTAATAAATAATAAACAGACATACTGGAGTGATTTTCAAGCATAGTGCATATAGTTCTGGCACTCAACAAACTGGAGATAGACATTTTACAAACACACTTCAGTTCTCTCTCACTGCCTGGTAGTGTTTGTACAACTAGAAGTTCTCAGAAACCTTAGTTGTGGCTGTACCCATGTGGATGCACTATAAACACAAACTGTAATTCACAGGGGTGTTTTTTATAAACCTGCTTTTTCTAGAGGAAAAACGTGGAGAGAAGGAGGTACAAAGGCAAAGCTGAGTTTTTCCCTGTTCTCTTCACTTAAGAACTGAGGATCATGCATATGTCTCCTTGCTATCACAGCCCCCCTGGCCTCACCAGTCCTACAGAGGAACAGTCATGGCCTAAGGATCTGTAAAGGCATGAATGTACCTGCTATGCAACCCTGGGGACGTGGCGGCCCAGAGTGCTGAGCCCAGGCTCGACAGCTACCTATTGCTAGGACTTCTTCCTTCTGCAGGGACCAGAGCTGTTTGTCCTGGTCTCACAGAGACACCTGGAGCAGCTCACAGTCTGCTCAGGGACTGACAAGTCAGTCCTGCCCCACTTCGGTTTCACTGTCACCTCCCTGCAAACTCCCCCCATGTAGCCAAATGCATACCCAAAGGGCAGCTCAGCAGCAAGAATGAACCTGCCAGGATTGAGCTTCTCACATAAATTCCTAACACAGCCATGTCTGCAGGATTTCTTTGGCTCCTGATAGTTTAGGGCAGGAATTCTTTTGCCCACCGACACAGAAAGGATGAGAGTCCTTACCTCAATGTTCCTAAGCAAATGGCTCTGCAGAGATGCAGGATGCTGACCTGGGCTCGCTGGCAGCTGTGTTGCCCTCCCCTTGCTGGATGCTCTGTGACGAAAGGAGGGAGAAGTTGGGCTGTAAGCTCCTGTGAGAAACGGTGTCATATATCAGGAGGGGCCATCAGACAAAGGCAAGGAGAAAGGCAAAGAAGAGTAATCCTGGCTCCCTCTTCTCCGCACCCACCCACTCCTCTCCTCCTCCCTAGGCTTTGCATATGCATCCGAGGTTTATTCTCCCACAGCCATTTCCACAGGAACATGTACAGAAGAGGACTATTCTCACCCTAACACACTTCCCTACACACCAGTGCAGTTCTGTTCACTCTCCTCTCCCGTAACTACCACACACCTTTCACCCTCATACCTCTGCACATCTGCCATGTCTTGGCAAGGCAGCTTTTCGTACTGGGCATCATGTTTTCAACATCATCTTAGCAGTTTGTGTCTGTAGGATCCCTTTCAAACCTGAATGAATATCCTCATAATGAGGGATTCCTGCTAACTGCTGTAGTAAAAAGATATTTACTGTCCCACGGACTTAGCAAATTGAAATTTCAGTTCCTGATGAAATTGCCCAGCATGAGATGGTCAAAAAAGGCAGACCAGTCTGAAATCCAGTTTCAGACTACAGTTTCTCCAGGTTTGTCTGTCACATCTGTCCTTTCAAAGACTGTAATAGGGAACAAAGACTGACACATAGTATGATGCCTTCAAAACTTAAGCTGAGTGGCTAAGGATCTGGAAGGCTATCTCTTTTACCGGTAGTTGCATCTTGTCACCTAATTCTTCAAATATCCTCAGAAAGCTTTACATAATGAATTAATGTATTAAACAAGTAGCTCTTTTTCACACAAATGCCTTTTTTCTTTTCTTGTGGACTCATCATTTTCCATCTACAGGCACACGAAGAGGACCCAGTGGTAACTGCTGTCCTTTCCATCTTAAGTGTCCACCAGCTCAGCCCACTTACCACAGTCACAGCCAAGGTAGCTGAGGGGAGTGTGGGGAAAGGATACAGCGTTGGTTCCAATTTAGATAGGTGAGAGGGACTGGTAGGACAATGCAGATGGATGCTGAAGCCATTTGCTGTGGTTCTAACCCTGTTTTCTATTTTCCATCTTTGCCAGTAATTAGTGCTAAATTGGTGAATTAGGATGGCTGAATGCAACTCTACATATTGTATGACTGCTGATCCTTACCTAAGCTGAAACTAGCTCAGCTACAGCTACTTGTGCTATAGTTACAGCTAAGAAAGAATCTTCTTTCAAGGCTGGAAAGAATTGGTGTTTATTCTGTTGAGCCACTTTTATTTTTCTGTCCTTACACTGTCATATTCAGATTTTGATTAAGGCAAGGAATGAAAACGCAATTTCTTGCCCTTTGGGGAATACAAATAATATGGTGTTTAACTGAAATAGGTATAATAAATCTCCCATAGCCCCTAAATCTTACTGAGGAAAAAAAATCTAATTTCAGCAAGAAAAAGCATGTTATCTATGGCTGGGATTGTATGCCTCCAAAAAGCAAAACATTGTCATTCTTTCATTTTCACTCCTAATTCCTACCTTAAAACATAGCTGGCAAATAATTTTGTAATTAATTAACTATTCTTGTATGTTTAGTAGCAAGATCTTGGCTTCAGGATATTTAATCTTATTAATGAGTAATACTTACCTTCAGGACAAATTTTTCTCTTTTTTTTTTCTTGGCCAGGTGCAACTTTAAAAGTTTAGTGAGGCCTCCACATTTTTATACCTGTTTGCGTGGGATACATGATGTTATTCTATCCAGAATTCCAAGTATGTGACATAACACACTGTACACTTCTAGACTTGCAGTCTTCTGAAGTTGTGATGTTCTCAATAACTGCACTGTCCTTATAGTGACAGTTTATCAAAACCTAGATGATATGCATATATCATATATATATAAATATATATGCATTGATGCATCTGAGATAACTCTTAAAAATAAAAATTAACAGCAAACTTTCTTGCTTCATTTACAGCAAACTTTACCAAGTGCTTATTTAATATTTTAATGGCTTTACACTGTATTTTTAACATAGAATAGATGCCTTAGAAGGTATGATTAGGAACATTTATGCTGTAGTTTAAATGTTATAAATTTACTGCTGGAATTCAATTTTTTTTTGTAAAGGAGTAAAAAAGTATTTTATTTTAAGGAATTTAGACATTGGATGCTTCAGCACACAATTTACATTTCCATTCAACTAATATTTAAACATACTTAAGTATCTTCGATATCCCTGGGAGATGACACTACAGGTTTCTGTACTTACTTAACTAAGTTGGGCCCAGCTACCCTAGCTCATATATGCTTACAACATAACAGTAGTTGGCACTAAGACTGGTAATCTTTGCAGGAATCAAAGACTGAAATGAATATAAAAGCTATGTTACAGTTGTCCCAGCTGAAGCTGAGGTCACAGATGTTGCTGCATATTCAGATCTTTGCATTTTTTCCATCACTGTTTGAAATCCAAGAGTTCTCAGCTGTCTGATCTCAGTATTTCAGTCAGAGAAATCAGATCTAGTGTTCTTTTCAAAGAATAAAGGGGTATATGAGAGCTGTTTAAAACCACATCTAAATAGGCTATACTCAGTCAAAGGGAATTCCTTATCATTTTAGAGTCATGAGGAGAGGTATCCTGAAGAAAGATCTGCAAGATCTCTTTGCAAGTGAGTGTGTTTAAGCACTACTAAGAAAGGAAACAAAAGTGATATTTACACCTCTTTGTCAGTGCCATTACCATTACATAGGTGGTGACAGCTTCAGAGCTACATGAGGTTGCAAGGTCACTTGGAAGGGACACTGAGTGAAGAACTGGGGCTTAGATGCCAGTTGCTGTGGTGTAGCATGACCTCTTGTGTCAGCAACAGCCCTCACTATCACTTCCCAATGGCCAGAAGTAGCAGCAAGCCTGACTGTTCCAAACTTCTTTCCTGGTGCTCTCTTTGTCTGTCCCTCCCCTCTGTGTATGAGTATCTCTCCTACAGCCTCGTCTGGCTCAACTGTGACCTCTTCATCGACTGTTCAGCAAAATTCAGTATATCATTGAGAAGCCTTGAGTAATTTCTCTTAAGATGGATTAACTAGTCTCTTCTAGCATATCATGTCACTAGAATGTGAGAGAGCCCTGACTACTCCTTCAGCTGTCCAACAAACCTACAACAGCACTGGAGATGGAGTAATCACGTTTTGCATAGTTAGCAAAATACCATCTGAATATTTCTATATGCTAAAGCAATACAGAACCACCAAGGAGGCCAGTTTGTGGGAGCAGCATTAAGCAGACAGACCATGCCTTCAATTTTCCTCTGCTCTGATGGTAATTTTTTTGGTCCCAAATAGCTTGACATGGTGCTCCTGAAATGTATTTGCATTTTTTTTGCCACCTCAGTGTGAATAATTCACATATCAAGTCTGCTGTGAACTGTTAAAAATGTGCACATTTCACACAAGCTTCTTCTAGTGTTTCATGGCCTCAAGATAGTCTTGACCATTTAACCTGACTGATCATGGTGTAATGGTATTTCAAGAGTATTTATTTCATTGCACTATACATGTCAGTACCTGACCAAAGTGCCCAAAACCTACTTGACTCGAACTCATAAAATAATGAAAGCACACCATTTACAGTATTTTGAATCCTGATATTAATGAGCAATGTTATAAAGAATGTGGGTCACATGTAAGTTGTATCACATGTGTGAATTTTAGGAAAAACAGTTCAAAAGTTCAAATACTCAAAGTAATTGAACAAGAAAATTTAAAACCATCAAAACTTAACTTCACTCGAGATTGTATCTGAAGAAGGATAAAATAAAATAAAAACCTGTATTTCACCTTTTGATAGCAAAATGTATTCTAGTGAATTTGACAGGATTCAGGCTGGATAGTTTGCTAAGTATGGTAAGTCTTGACAAGGTGACTTCTGTTTGTCAACTGTTGAGGCT